CTCATCCGACCCTCACAGGAGCTCTCCCTGGTAGGTGAGTCCTGTTCCGGTCAGCTGTGTCGGGAAAATAAGCCTCGGAGTGCTCTCCAAGGAGCTCGAACCCAGGGGGAGAACTGAACCGCACCGCTGAGTGTGGGAGCCAGGATCCTCCCCAAACCACTGCACCCCACTCGAGGAGTCTAAAAGGTAAATCTCCCAATAAATAACCTTCTCATTCTATTTTGTGAGCTGGGGTTTAAAAATAAACAAATTTTTTAATGACAGAGACACAAGTAACTTAAGCATACAGACTTTGCCAGACTGATACCGATTAAATCCCAGGAGCTACAGAGGCTGGGCTCCCAGAAGTGAGGTGCTCTAGGTAAGAGCAGACCCTCAGGTCCAAAAGCAGCCCCAGGCCTTCCTCACCCTCTCTTCAGGCCACCAGGAAAGCACACCGGTCCACGCCACCTGCAGCAGGACGCTCACTGTTCTTGTGCCGCAAATGTTCCGCAAAGATGCTTGTCTGTTTCCCTCACATGTGCAGTACACAGTGATTCCGCTGGCTGTGGGGGGTCGGTGTGTGGACGGGACACAGCCCAGTTCTTTTTCCATCTCCTTCCCTACACAACCCTTTCATCTGTTGGTCCCTTTCCTGTTTGCTAAATTCTTATCTCTGTTTCCTCTTATCTATGTTTTATTTGGCTCTTTTATTTATACTTTGGGTTTCTCATATAAAAGAAATCGTCATATTTAGGCTTGTGAGTGTGATTTATTTCACTTAACTTCTGGTCTCAAGATGAATCCTTTTCCATGCAAGTGAGTCAAATTTATCTTTTTATGGCAGAGTAGTACTCTACTGCATATCAGTAATATCTTTTTCTTTCCTTTGTTTTGCTCATTATATTTTGGTTTTCCCAACCACGTGGTATTTAAGCTTTTGTGTCTATTTCACTTAGCATTGCTTTCAAGGTGCAACCATTTTTGTAAAACTGGTTCAGATTCTTCCTTCTTTATAGCAGAATAGTATTCCACTGTGTATAGGTACTATTTTTTCATGCATTTGTCGGTTGATGGACACATAAACTGCTTTCAAGATTTGGCTATTGTGAGTTGTGCCATTATAAATATGCATATGTATGGACTGACATAATGTGATGTCTTCAAGTCTTTTGGGAAGATACCTACAAGGGAAAAAGTTGAGTTGAATGGAGTTTCTGTTTTTAGTTTTTTAAAGAATTTCCATAATGATTGTACTAGTTTACATTCCAAAAATGATGTAGAAGGGTTCCCTTTTCCCCACCGTCTATTATTATTTGATTTCTTGATGTTTGCCATTCTTTCTGAAGATGAGATCTCAGTGTTGTTTTAATTTGGACAGCACACTCTTGCTCTTCCCTGAGTTCTAGCTCCCATGGTCTGCAAAAAGACCTCACTGTGTTTTTTTACCCATCAAAACTACCTTTTAATAGCTATTGAACCTACCAACCCCTCTGGTTATCTTTAAAAAGTGGTGTCATACACTGTATTATTTTTCACCATTTGTAACCCTTCTATAATCCAGTACTTACCATATTTCATATTTCAACATCTCTGAAATGGGAATAAATTTTATATCCAATGGTTACTTTTTTTATTTTCATGTAGTATACAAATTCATGGTGCATCTTTTAAAGGATGGTGTCTTAGGTTCTAAGAACATGGTATGCACAAAAGCTCAGTTGAAAGATGCTAGACTACAATTTCCTCAAGGGCAAGACAGAAAGTGCTTCTTATTTATCTTGTACCACTGCATCCCATTCTCAGCACTTAGCCCAGTGGTGTTCACTGTGTTGGTTCATTTCATTTGAAATATCTACCCGTGTGCAAAATGCTAAACTCAAGAACTGTGAGGAAGAAATAGAACCATAAAACAAAGACAGTTGGCAATGTATTTCCTGTGATCTCTTCTGCCACCAAAAAATTGGACTAAGCTCCCATAATTATTTGTGTTTTATTTGTAAAAGATATTTGAATCAAATAATGTCAGTAATTTATTCCAGCAAATATAATTATAAGAACTAAAGATAACAATATTTTGTCATTATACTTTGTAGTTAGGAACTATTCCGTTATTTACAGTACATCATCTTGCAATTTTACAAAAAAATGAATTATTGGTTGATACAGTAAAGCAAAGCTAAAACATTTTGACCTGCCCTATAGTATCCTATTGATTAACTGGCTTAATGGAGAGATATCAGAAAGGGGGTTACAAGTAAAATCATCAATTGTCAAAAAATCACTGCTCAAAGTTGCCAGAAGGCAGGAAATACAGAAATATTTGTGAAATGTCTAACTCTCTCCTTCATTATTACTTTATGCTTTAAATTAAATTAATCATCATCTTTCCTTGCATCCTCTTCCAATAAGATTTTTCTGTATAAGCCCAGGGCTGAGATTTGTTAAAAATTTAAACTTGCCCTTATAAGCCTTACAGGAATCTGAGTCAAGATAGCCAGAGATTTTTGGCAAACTGATCATTCTTATTTCTTGAACTTTGGCTCTTTACATATGCAGCTCCAAGCTGATTTGCATTATGCACCCATTACAGGAATAGATCTGCCAGGAAGTTTTGAAATTCGAAGACACACAGGCCCATTTCTTGGTTAGGTCGTAGCTTCAGACCTACAGATTAGCCCAGCAGGGCCCTCTAAATCTTTTGCAATGAGCATTTTGAAATACATGGGTCATTTATTTCTGGCTTCCAGGCAGTTCAGCAAAAGTTTTAGGCTACAGAATTGCAAAAGTTTATGATTTTTCACTGAGGAATGAAAAGTGACACAGTAGAGCAAACTGCAGGCATTTAATACCAGATGTTAATGTAAAAATTGGAAAATTGTGGTCACACGTGGTTATCTGAACTCTGACCTGAAAAATCGCATTGCAAATCTGTAAGTCATCATCATTGCTGGGCTCTTCTATAATTTAACCTTGTGCCTACTTTTAAAAATGCAAAATAATAATTCCAAATCATGTAATAGGTCATTAGTTCATATTAATCTGGAGGCATTTTGTTTATACACCAATAGTGCAATGTCTTACAATAAAACCACAAGTAGAGTCTTTCTGATTTGTTGTGATTTCTAATGACTTTTTAAAAAATAGCTTGAGATATGTTTATTTCCCCTGCCACACCTAACTTCACAAGATGTTAAAGGAAAGGGACGAAATTTTGCTTATTAACATCGAGAGGGAAAGAGCACACACTGGAAACCAACATTTCAAAACACTTTTCTGTGAGTTTTTCAAAACACTTTTCTGTGAGTTTATACTTCGTCCCTAAGCTGCCCATCTGAGAAGCCGAATGCATGGTTTTGAAGATTCCAGCTTGCCTAGGAATCTCAGGTCAGTAGGAGAGCTTGTGGCAGGAAGAGCTGAGGTAAGCAGCTCTGTATTTGGTGAGTCCTAGCTCTTCTACTCTCGGAGGAATATTGCCAAAGCACTCAACCTCCCTGCACCCGAGATTTCTTCGCCCTGAGAATGAATTCCACTTGAATGTCTCGGTCACTTCTCAGGGCTGTTTTAATTTCAAAGGACACAATTTGGGTAGGAGTGAGCAAGAGGGCGAGCATTCTGGAACCAGGAAGGACACCACTCGAACTCCGTTGTTTCAACTCAAATCCTCAAGGAGCTGAGGCCCAAAGAAATCTACTCTAAGCCCAGACACAGGTAGGAAGAACTTCAACATGGTCCTATTCTTCCTGGGCACGAGCGTCTTACCTTTGTATCTCTCTACTGTTGATATTTAAAATGGCGGAGAGGAATGTAAGGAGAGTAGATCTTTTAGTGAATTGTTAGCAAGAAACTACATGTGTTCCACCAGCCCAGGCAAAATGCCAGCATAGAGTTTGGCACCACAGTGAGGACCCAAGAGAGGCCATACTTCTGGAGAAACACAGATCAGCGCAAGAGCCCAGCTTGCCTCATGGGAGCATGCAGTTCTCCAGCGATCACTCTCTCTCTTTCTCCCTCTCTCCGAAAACACCCAATGGCCAACACACCTCACACAATGGACGAGTGGCAAGGGCCTTTGAAGCTGTCCTGTCCCCTCGCCCATGGACAGCCGAGGACACTAAGGGCCGTGGGAGTCTGTCCGCACGCCCCGGCCACACACACAGCAGCAGCGCCTCTGTGACGTGAAGCCAGAGCATCTGGCCTGCTTTCCAGCAACATTTCCTCGTCCTCAAGCAAAATGTGAAGGAAGTTTTGTTATTTGCGTCTCAAATACGGTCTAAGTTTTCCTTGGAAAGATTAAATTTATTTTAAGACAAATGCCTGAAGAGGTATATAACCGGAAATCCTTCTCCTCTTACACCCTGCTGCCATCTTTTTATTGCTTTTCTCTTGCTTTGTCTCTCCCACTTTCTTCACCCTCTCTTTCCTTCACAGATCTGCGCACCTGGAGGCAGGCGAAGCAACAAAGACAGCAAACAAAAGTCAGGAAAATATGATTTCTACTTGCCTGTAATACCTCAAAACTTAGGCTGAGGCTTTCAAACAAAAGGTTATCAATTTAAGTCCTGAATCCAGAAAAAAGGGGTTTTCTTTCCAAAGAATCTGATATCATTTATACAAAATTAAAATTTTATTATTCCCCAGTTTCCTACCATCACCACCCACCCCTCAGACTTTTCATCTTCGGGTTCTAAATAATCCCTGGCCCTGTCGCCGAATGAGTTTGCCGTGGGTGTGTGAGCTTATTTGGGTCCCACAGGACTGAAGTAAGGAGATAATATGTGTATCTCACAATCATCCACAGCCTTATTGATGAACAGCCTTAATTTGACTTGAATTTGCCAAATTGTGTCATTTCTATTCTTTCCCCTCCCTCACACACCGTTCCAATCAGTTCATTTTATCCAATCCTAAGAATTATATACTTTTCCCCCAGGCATACAAAAGACAGCGAGAAAAAACCCAACATAAAAAATTCCCCCAATGAGTGCCTGACAAAGAAGAGACAAAATGCCACATGACGGGTGCACCAAACATTTACTCAAAGTCTTCAAAAATGTTACAAAGGGAGGCAGACACCGCAGAACTGATGACAAGGAAGTCATCAGACACCAACAGCTTGACAAGGCGGGCAGGCTTGGAGAGGGGAAGGGGACACCTCTGAGTGTCTACGGTGGTCAAGGCACTGTACACACATTATCTTTATTATCTTTTGTACATATTCTCTCATTTGAACTCATTCAGGAGAAATTATCCCAGGCTTGGAAAAGAAGACAGGAAGAGAGAAAGTTTTACTTCCTGTAGGGCACTAACCGGGTTTAACCTTCCTTGCGATCTCCTTTCATCACAGCCTTCCCCACTGATGACTGAGATTCCGGCTCTTCACATTCCCTTCACATTGCTCTGTTACACGGACAATGGGTTCGTGAAGCTCCATTCAATGATTTGCACGAGGGTTATGTTTTTAGTGATCTGAGAATTCACGCTTCGACACCAGCAGCCATATGAGGTAGGTAGCAGGTCCCCATTTCACAGAGGAGGAAACTGAGCCCTGGAGAAGGCATGTTACTTACCTAGCTCACAGAGGTCAGAAGCGACAGATCTGGGGCTGGAACTCAAATCTGCCTGAAGGCCTTACCAGGAAGTATACTAGTGACTCACGTGCAGACTAAGACTTGGGGCTGGAACATTTCCAAAACATCAACCTCATCCACACAGGTTTATATGTTTGGGTTAGAAATGTGACGGTTGGTTATCAGTGTCCTAAGCCTGAGTGTTTAAATAGTAATTGAAGAGGCTATCTATTGACTGGTTTCATTTCAAGTCCCAAGTTTTAAAACTTGGAAATGTTGTTACATATGTGCCCGCAGACTATGTGGAATACTATCATTAAAGTGTGAAATCGCAATGCTTTGCCGACTCCCTCCATGGCCCGGATGATGGTCAGCAAAGCATTACTGAGTGTGTTATAAAAGTCACTGAAACACATGTAGAATACTTACTCAAGAGCATGATTTGAGATTTCACGGGCATGTCTATCCATAACACAGTCTGAGAGTTTTTAAAAAATAAATCTGCCCAAGTGACCAGCCTACCCCACTGTAAACATGTTTGGTCTACCTCATCCTTAGACTGGTAGAAGAGAAGAGTACCAACAGGCCTTTCTCTTTTCCTGCCACACAAGTGATTTGTGTCCCTTGTGGTACAGAAAGGTAGGCCTGAAGACCAGGGAGTCATAGCGACCCTTCCTCTAAAAGCACCTTGGCACATAATGGAACTTTGCCTTCAAAGTGCCTCTGGGAAAGAAAGTCTGTTCTTTATGCATACAGTTTATCTGTCCAAAAAAAGGGGCCCTCCGCTCCGATATACACCTCTGGAATGCACTTGCTTATCTACCTGAGAATTCATTCAGTGTCTATGCAGAGGTACAAGGTCTGCTCCATAAATAAGACCCCGGGGTTCAGCTCAATTGGTATCAAGCTTGATAAAAAGCCCTACTTGAACTTCAAGGTTTCGGTCCATCAAGCTGCAGCTTGGACAGTGATCACTGGCCCGGTTTCTGCACAGCACTCCAGATTCAATGGGCACTGGCAGCTGCCTGCCACAGACTGAAGCTAAGTGAGCCAACCCGCTCCACTCCTCGCCCCTGACAGGCTGAATTTCAGCTCCAGCTCAAGTGACAGATAAATGTGGTTCAAATTCATCGTGACTTACAGTTTCACTGTTTTCTCCTGACTAAAGCTGCTCAATGTGTCTGTGGTTTTCTTACATAAATTTTCAAGCCAGCTAGTGCTGTTAAAAAGCGGCTTTTCCAACCCTGATGTTGGGGGTGGATTTTTAGCTCGCATATTTTTTCCAGATGTGATAAGCTCTCCATAGCCCTCTTGGTGAGCAAAAGCATAGCCAGATCTTCTTGAGCTTGACCTGCGGGGCTGAGGTCTTCGCCTCCTTACAGGCCTTGCCTTTTTCTGGGCCTTCTGCCACCGGCGGATCTGGGGAGGGACAGAACCAAAGTGAGATGATGCCTATCGAGAAACTATCATGCAGACAAGAGGCATTCAGGTAAATTTCATTACTCTCTCCACTTGGATGTCTTAGTTGCAGGAAGAATATGGACAGAAGCCAAGGCCTTGTGCGTGCTGGGTACCGTACACGCTTCAATACAGGAGGATTTCATCCACCACCCCGGCACCATCAGCACAATAACTATAGCTCCATTCCTCCTGCGGAGGTGCTCTGGGTCCAACAGTCACCAGTAACTGGACTACAAGAAGATTTAGAAAATGAGGAAGAGAAACTTTTGTTGCTTGTGGTAGGTCAGTGTATCACGAAACTCTCAGGGAGTTGATTTATTCTGGGAATGTTGTGGCCATTTGAAGGGCTCAACACCCTGTGAGTGGGCTCCCAGCCTTTCTACCATTTCCCTGCAAAGGAGGAAAAGACCAGAGGCCCGGCCTGAATAACCTGGTGCTCTGACTTGACAAATCGCTTGGATTCCAACTTTTGTGTCGGAGGAAAGCTGTGAAATAGGAAATCACAGTCAGACTGAACGCAGGAGAAGTATTGTCTTCCTTCTTTCTGCCTACCTGTCACATCCTAGGTTTGTATCAGCTCGGAAGCAAAAAGAAAGAAGATAGCCTCACGAGCGCAAGGTCCCGAGCTGGATCTCTGGTACCACAAGGAAGAAGAAGGCAGGACAGGGACTCTGGACCTTCAGGAGGGACATTTCTGTACTTTGGCTGCAGAGTGGGAGGGGCCTGATACAAGAAAAGTCCCCTCTTGTTCTCAGCACCTCTGGCCTGACCCCATCCGGCGTCCGTGTTTCCCCTGGGCTCCACGTGTGTCTCCCCTTCCCTTCTTTCTCTTCATATCTGCATCTCAACCTAATACTGCCCAGATTATAATCCTCTTCCCATGAAATCCTCCAAACTCATCTTATTCCCAGTCAAGGTTTGAGACAGGGTCTCACTATGTAGTTGAGACTGACCTGGAACTCACTGTGTAGCCCAGGCTGGTCTAGAACTCACAGCGATCCTCCTGCCTCAGCCTCCCCAGTGCTGGAATTACAGGTGTGTGCCACCACGCTATTCCCTCTTGCTATGTTTGGAAAGCAACATCTCCCCCATATTTCTCAATCTGCTCTTGTGTTTCTACAAACATTTACAGCCTCTGCCTCAGTTCTTTCTTCTCTCCCTTCTACTATACCCTTTACCGTCAAGTCAAAAACTTTCCCTGTCTTGCCTTTCTCTTAGAGCAACTGTCCACACTAATTCCAGTGTGCTTCTTTTAGAAAACTCAGCTTTTAAAAATAACCAACTTGTGTAATTTTTTACTTTCCACCCTTATTTATTCCAGAAGCTTCTCTTCATTGGCACACAGGACCCATAGTTCAAGATGCGGGTGGTTCTATCTGGTCCGGTTGATGCCATGCACCTTTGGGTGCTGGACTTTGGAAATTGCACCATCCCTTCCCTGGGCTTCCAATCAGACAGAGAAGGAGACCATTCTGAGAGCTGAGACCCAGCACACACGACATACCTGGTCAGTCAGGGCCGGATGTAAATCCATCTTCAGAAATCTGAATGCCACCACTGGCATAATCGAGGCCACTGTTGTTAAGAGAATAACAAGCCAGACGCACTTCTGGGTCAAAGAATGCCATACATTTCCTAGGATTAAAGGCAAATACAGCCTGTAGTTATAAACAAGATCGAGTTCTCTGGAGGCTTTTTGCTGGTAAGATGAAGTTTGGACTCCTCGGGAGAATGGGGTGTCTTTCCGGGCACCGTGTGTATCGCAGAACCCCAGACTCCTCACCGTCTGTGCTTTTCTGCATTTTAAATAATCATGAGCCACAGAAAACGGTGAAGAGTGGAAGCCTAAAAGGCTAATATCAGCACAGTAAAATGTGACCCCTCTGGGAAATGTTCACAAGTTCTTTTTAATTACATCATGTTTTATGGAAAAAATTTGTTCCTTACCCACAGCTTCCAGCACTTATCAAGAGTTCTGTAATGAATTATTGAGGAGGCTGAGGTGGGACTGTATTGTTAAAAGGCACAGTTTACCTCTGTGGGTTCTTAAATACAATCAGACCATCAAAACTCACCACAAATGCTCTGAATGCAGGCACAATGTCAAACCTAGTCTTGTTGGCTGGCTAAAACAAAGGGTGAGCTTCCTCTACTGCAGGGCCCACCTTTGAAATTCCAGGCAATGGCCCTGGTAACCTGCCTCAAAGGTTGTGAGCTACTTCAAGTTCCTAGGCAACCTGGGGCAGCTGGGTTTGTATAAAGAGCACCCTCTCCCTGCTGACCACCAATGCCGCCGTCCAACATGTAAGGCCACTGGGCAGCAAGATGCACTGGGCAGAGATGCCGGCTCCCTTACTCTCTACTTCACCTTGCATCCTTGGGCAGGAAAGGTCAGTGAGACAGACAGACAAGCCCTGCTTCTACCGCCAATAGAAAATTTTGCTCTTATTTGTTTTCTAGGGCTTTCTCACGATACCTCCAACATCCTAGTTCCCTTTCCAGGGCTCAAGTCTTCATACCACTGAGATGGGACTTGGGTACGAGGGCTTGGCCACTGGTAGGTACATCAGCTTTTTCTGGCGCTGGTGAATAGACTCTGCCTACCAAAGAGCAGCTGACTCCAGCTGCCTTCAGCCCTGAGCAGAAATAAACTTGACTCAATAAATTAAAGGTCTTTCTGGGCTCCTTAAAGCTTAGAACCCTGGGGCAAGGCTGAGAAAAACAAGCGTCTCTGAAAAAACCACACTCCTGCATGCTGCTGGTTACTAAAGGAAAAAAAAAACAACAAACTTTTTTCCCTGAAACCCCACTGTTGATCTAACTTTTGTAGAGTCTCGTTGGAGCTCCGTAATTAATTCCTGGAATGGCATGTGCTTAGCAGAGAAGAGGTTCAGACATAAACTACTTTCTCCAGCACAGGCACTCCAGGCCGTGTGTGAGGTTGCTCTCAGGACTTAAAGTTTTCTAATCTATGCAGTGAGCTTTGCAATTTGGAAACTCCCTAAAATATTACACACACACACACACACACACACACACACACACACACACATATATATAATACTGATCATATATATAGATATGTCAATAAATAAAACAAAGCTTAGAAATAGTTTGAGTCTTTCTTTCCTAACCAGCTTATTCTGATTCATCACCAACATGTTTCTCTATGGTTGGAATCTTTGTAAACAAAGTATTAACATTACATATTAAGTAAGAGTCCAATTTAAAGATTTCCAGTTATGTGCAGGGAAAGGCAAAAGTGGAAGGAAAATGTTCATGAATTTTACGTGTACATTCAAATGGAATTAGAAATTCAGGTTCACTTGCATGAGTGGAAGTATCTGAACTGAGAGTTGGTTTGTCTTGATGCTTTCTACATGAACTGGTCTTCTAAACACCCTTTTCTGAACTGAGTTACCCAAACAGTGGAGGCAAACCCTAGTCTTGCTTGCCTGAGCTCAAGAAGAACATCACAATGTATTGCTCTTCTCCAGTTCATTGAGATAAACTCAGAGAATTGCTGTTCCCTACTTATCCTGCGCGCACAAGAAAACTCCAAGCTTGTGAAAAGCTGTATTAATAGCCTTCTTGTATAAACTGTAGTGGCCTCACTGGGAATCACTTAGAAATGTGGACTGTACGGTAGTATACTCTGTGCCTATACCAGGTATATGTCCTCTTGGGATAATAATAGAATCTCACAGATTTAAGGGCTCTTAAGGGGCTCTTTGTTACCCTGCTGATGTTCATTCCTTCTTCAATGCCCCCAATCAGTAATCAGGACACATTTGTTTGAGTAACATTAACCACTATAATCATAGTCAACATTTATTGAAAATGTAGCCTGGGCCATAATATACACTACATATTTTGTACGTGTTTTATACTTAACCCCCATAACTTTTCTATGATAATAGGAACTATTCATATCATGCCTTTATAGATAAAGACATTAAATGGTGGAGAGAGGAAACTTGCCCAAGGTCACTCTGCTTGTTAAGTGTTGAAGCAGGCGTTTGTCTAACTACAGAGCCTGTACTTCAGGCCACTTACAGGCCAGTGACCAACAGTTTGGTTCAGGCTGCTGAGCGTCTGCTATCACGAGTCTTTTACATCTGGCGGGGATAGTAGGCACTGATCGTTTGGGCTCCCGTAAGTGTGGAAGTGTTCAGAGGCCTGGCTCAATCAGCTCCTGGGGAAAGGGTCATCGGTCATCTCCAGCCCCAGCCAACGCAAACTAACATGTTAAAAAAGTCAAATGAATGAAAGGATGAAGCAGGAGACTGTAGAACTCACCGACAAACGGAAACTGGCTTGGGAACATTTCAAAGATGCCATTACTGTGCATGGTAAATAAAATGGAGAAGTAAGTAGCAATGCTGCCCCAGATGAAGACGTGGTTAATGACTGTCCAGTAACTGGTGTCCAGGGCTATCTGTAAGTAGAATTCAATGCAAAAGAGAGATCTGTGAGGGTTAAAAGAATGTGGTCTTACCATGCGATCTTTCTCCAGGGCTGCTCTTTGATAAGAAAGTTACCACTGTTCAGCAGCCTGGCCAACCACAGGCACCTCTGCCTCCAATACACACAGAGAAGCGGGACCGTTAATTGGACGTTTCTGTTGGAAAATTGACTTTAGAATTTATTTACGCAGCCCATCATATATGCCAAGTGTGGGTGCAGTATCCAGAGATAAAATATTGAGGTTTTTTTTTAACAAGAGAAATAAGAAAATAAGACGGTTTTATAATTTTAAAGTCACTTTCCAAATTGCTCACAAACTTTTCTATTGGGGGGAAAAAATCTTTCTGTACTGAGTGTGACAGTTTATAATCTGTACATAAATTTTCACATGGCCATTTTAACACATGCATGCTCTTTTCACATAAACATTCCAACTTATTTTGATGATCTTTTCCTTGAATTGTACTCAAATCATAACAAAGGAAAATCCTTAATCCTCTTTTGGCATAAGACTCAGAAACTGGAACTCAGGGTGACCTGGGAGGGAGTTCAAAGCACATCTCGCTTCGGCTCAACTGAAAGACGAGTGGGGTGCTATTGGACAGCTAGGGGAACTACTGGTAAATATAGATCCTTGAATGGTCCAGAGGGAAAAAAGTAGATTCTGGTGTCATTATTTGCATCTCAGAGGTCACAAGTGGTGCGAGTCCAAGGGGAGATTTGCATTTCTAGTAGAGCCGGGGCAAGACCACAGATTTCTTGTCTGCCTGATGGGGCCCTACCTGCAGAGTAAACAACAGCGCACAATGCAGACATCCACCTCCTTCCCACTTTACTGTCCTTCAAAATGTTGCCCCATTAGAAGGGTGCTAAAAGCCTTCAATGTGAACTGCCCTGGTTATCGGGGACCAGCCTTTTCTCTCCTCAAGAACCCTGAAAACAGAGCCCTGCTGTCCATGCCTCAGCCGAGAGACACTGGTTTCCTATCTAGTCCATTTGGCTGCCCAGACTTAGACCAACAGCTCCCACTCTGTCTCCCACCACCTGTAAGGTCATCATCTTCAAGACAACAAAAGTCTGGCCTGAAAAAAACAAGGTCTGACCTGAGTGGGTAAGAGAAGGAAAAGAAAAAACATAACCCATGTAAAAGGACTTGGCTATAAAAACCAGAACAGGTGGTTCCTATGAAACAGAACAAAGAGAAGAGACAGACAAGCAATAAAATAACAACAAAATGTGATAAGACCTCTTAAGGAGATGCAATTAGATCACAGGAATAAAAAAATCTGGAAGGAAAAAACACTGAATTAAAAAATTTAACAGGGAAACCAAGTAGAATCGTCACTGACAGGAATTGGATTAATATTCTGGAATAAAAGAATGGAAATAATATTTCATAATGAGGAATAAAGACCTACAGAAATGAAAACCATTTTCAAATCCATAGATGTCAAAGCCATGGGCCTAATATACAATTAATATCATTTTATTTTGTTTTGTTTTTTTTGTTGTTGTTTTTTGAGATAGGGTCTCACTGTGTAGTTGAGACTGACCTGGAACTCACTGTGTAGCCCAGGCTGGTCTCAAACTCACAGCTATCCTCCTGCCTCAGCCTCCCGAGTTCTGGGATTACAGGAGTGCGCCACCACACCTGGCTCAAATTAATATCATTTTAGAAAGAGAAAAAGAAACAAGTAGAGAAGTGAATCAAAGAAATGACAGAAGAAAACTGCTCTGTGATAACACATAGCATAGATTTTCAGATTGAGAGGGCCCTCTAAATCCTAGGCAAATTAATGAAAATCCATAACACAACGATGACATTTGTAAAGTCTGAGAAAATGCAGCTTTTAGACAGAAAAGATATTATTTACAGAGCAAAGAAAACAACCTTAGTCTGCTATAGTGAAACTGGTATAGAGTGCGTCAACGAAGTTCCTCAGGAAAAAGGCTCAGACTCGAGATCTTATGCCCACACAATATATCATATAAATGCCAAATGAAAGAAAGAAAGCCTTGAGCTCAACATTATATCGAAATACCCTTTCGGAACAGATTACTTAAGGATACTACTGCAAACCAAATAAAAACTAAATCACAATAAGAATTTCAAAATACAGTAGTGTAAAACCACAAAAAATAGCGGTAAGCGAAGATTCTTAAGTTTATAGTTAGCTTTAAGTGAGTAATATTGTGGGTATAAGCAGCACTATTAATTTGGAAAGAATTTTAGAACAGTCACAACATGTTAAAGGAACATTTAATAACAGCCTGGGACCAACATTCAAGATTATTAACATTCAAGAGTTGAGGATAAGAGTAAGGACAAGGAGGGGGAAATAAAATTAAAACATCTTTAAAAATGTTTAATTGGAGGTGGATGAGGAAATGTTTAGAATAAGAGAGTGAAACATTTGATGAAAGGTGTGATAAGTAATTTTAGGACATTAATATAGAAAATAGCTAAATGACTATAAAAATAGGTATGTCACTAATAAAATAGGACTACAATAGTAAAAATTATAAATTATTCATGGGAATAAGATATAAAACCACAATTAATGCATCTAAGTATGAAAAAAAAGGAAATGTTTAGAATAAGAGAGTGAAACATTTGATGAAAGGTGTGATAAGTAATTTTAGGACATTAATATAGAAAATAGCTAAATGACTATAAAAATAGGTATGTCACTAATAAAATAGGACTACAATAGTAAAAATTATAAATTATTCATGGGAATAAGATATAAAACCACAATTAATGCATCTAAGTATGAAAAAAAAAAGAATAAAAAAATTATAATAAAAATGAGAAGCATAAATTCCTCTATCAAAAGAGAAAAACTAATAGAATGAGACAAAAAAGAAAGTAAACCGAAGAGATTGGCTAAGCTTATTTATCAGACAAATGGAAACCAAATGAAGCAAGAGCAGCAGCAATTCTAATACTTGAGAAAGGGAAACTTAAATAAGGATTTATTTCTATCCATAAAAGATAAAAAATTTTTAAACTAACAATCAAGAACCATTCTATGGCAAGTAATATAGGCTTGCATTATATGAGGTAAAAACTCCTTGAAATCCAAAACTTAATAAAAATCGTAATTACAGTAGCACACATTAATCCACTTTTCTCAGCATTTGACAAAATGGGATAAAGGTGGTTCTTTTGGAGGACTGGGGCTCACTCAGCCCTGGTGTGATCACAGCCAAGCTATCAGAAGTGGTAACAGTGTTTTCACTATGGCAGTGCAGCCTTGGGATTGGGTACAGTTAGTGATTAAATTTAACTGTGTCAACTTGCTTAGCTTGGGAGCTATTCAGGGGATGAGTACACTTCTGGGTGTGTCTGGGTGGGTCTTGAAGGTGTGACCTTGGGTCCTGTATCTGGTCCCTTGCCCCTTCCTCTCTGGTGCCGTTCCTCTACTCTGCTTCCCAGCTGCCCTGAATTTAGCATCTTTGCTCCAACAGGCCCTTCCACCATGTTTCAGCCTTCAAGCTAGCTGGTGATGGACTGAGTCACCTTCAACTGGGAGTTAAATTAAACCTCTCTCTTTCAAGTCACGGGTGTTGAGCATTGTGCCCCAGGAACTAGAAAGCTGAAACAGAAAATTGGTACCAGAGAGGTGGGGTCACTGGTGTGAATGTACCTGACCATACGGTTTAGAAGCCTTTGGAAACAGTTTGCAATATGAGCTTGGACATGTTTGGAGATATGAAGTAGAGAACCCTTAAAATTCTGTGAGCTGAATTTGATAGGTGATTCTGGTTAGAGCTCAGAAGACCAGAATGCTTACAGGAATGTCAACAGTAAAGGCCAATCTCAGGTGGGAGCAGGGGCTGCATTGGCAATTTGGTTAGATGTCATATGTGCTACTCCCTGGCAAAAAAGAAATTGTCAACATTTACTCATGTTCTGAGATTTTTCAGGCAACTGAGATTAAGGGTGATGGGTTGACTGATCTGGCTGAGCAAATCTCAAGACAGCCCAATATTCAGGCTACTGCTGGCTGCTTTTAATCAGATTTACACTGAGAATCAGGAACAAAAACAAGAGCAGAAATTTTTGAAAAACTGAAATTTTAGCACAAAAGGAACCACATGTAAAGTTGGAGCTAAAGGAGATGTGAATGCTGAAAAGATTAGCATCATTTGCGGGGGGAGGCAGAAAAAAAGAAAGAGTACTTGAATGCATCTCAAAATCACAGCCTCAAAGATGCAAAAATGCAAACCCTTCAGCTGAGACCAGACCCTGGGGCCCCTGCTGGAGAAAGGTCATCTAGATAATTGGTTTCCCAGGATTCGTTTCACTATGTTCAGCCACCCAGGCACTTGGAGGTTGCTGCAGCCATAGTTCATGGGGGCCTAGCTATTGCATCAGTTGGCAGTAGATCTTAGTATCATCTACATGATGGTGATGTTCAGGCATGCAGAATGAAAACATTGTGGGGTTCAGAGGCTGCCACTCAGATTTTAAAGGAAGGCCCAGGAGGCCAGGTGACATACTTCCTAGAGGCAGGTGCATGAAGCTGTAGGAATTAAACCGAAAGTGGAGGGAAGATCTCAGGAAGATGGAGACGCTAGGAAGGTGGTGCCTCTGCAGAGATAAGCTGCTGGCAGTAAGTACAGCCAGCCCAAGAGAGAGCCCATATGGACTGCAACTAGCAAAGCTATAGGTGTGGGGGCTACTCCTACTCTCTGGGCATCACGATGTGCCCTGGATGCCAGACGTGGAGCTTCAGGACTTAATGTTTGCTCTACTGTGTTTCAGACTTATTTTGGTCCCACTATTATCTGTCATCTCATTCTTCCATCTGGAATGAGAATGTTTTACCTTGTGCCATTCTATCCTAGAGTCATGTAATTCCAAATTTATTTTTGCAGAAGTTCACAGCTGAGAGTCTGCTGTGAGTCTCAAAGGAGACTCGGACTTGGACTTTTGTAAAGTACTGGCACTGTTGAGACTTTGGG